AATTTTTCTAATACACCCCTTAAAATCAACCCTTTTCAGAATCTTTTTTTATCCAGGCAATTCTACAATTTTTGGGTGGGGGTGCCTTATGGAACTCTTTCCAGTTTTTTCATCAAAAATATAATGACAATACAGTTTTACAAAATTTGAATTTTTAGGTCCCATTAAAAAGTTTATTGATCTGATACTTGATAGTGATGGTCTATATATGTTATTGTTTTAACTTAATATTTTCAACAGATAACAAGTATTATTGCATAAAAAAGAACTAAATTATCCTGTTTGTTTCAAAAACATGGCAACACTTTCTGATTCTTAAAATGTTCAGTGTTTTTCTGTGTTTACTCATTTAATGAAATCTGAAGTATTACATGCATTTTAGCCATTGTAGTTTTAACAAGAAAGGTTCTATTTTTAGTTTGGATTTGGTTAATTGTAAGAAAAAATTGAAAGGCATTGTGTGTCTAAACTTAGTAATGATAAAAAAAATAATTTCATCCTTAAATGCAGATAGAATTTCATAAAATCTATAGATGGAATCCATACAATATGATTTGTTATTCTTATTAAACTCATTGTCAAAATAATTAGCTAAGTAATCCATAATGGTCTGTTTATTATTCAGTCTGTACAAAAGGGAGTCCAGATAACAGATCACAAAGCTAAATATAAGGAACACAGAAGAGTAAGCCACATTAATGCAGAACAGAAACGAAGGTGTAATATAAAGGTAAGATCCTTCCTTAAAGTTCTGTTTCAGATACTGGTTTTATTTATTAACACAGGTTTTGTGTGTTAGAAAGTTATTAATTCAGAACAGAAACAAAGGTCTAATATGAAAGTTACTTTCTTCCTTAAAGCTGCTGTATTACAAAAGGCTGGTTTTATTTATTAACATAGGTTTTGTGTGTTAAAAACATTTCATTTTGTATTTGAGTCATGTGAATGTACAGAATGTGTAATTTTCATTAGTGCTAGAGGAATGAATATGCTTAGAGGAAGCTTTTTTTTTTCCTATATATGAAATCTACATGATTAGAGGTGAATATTATCCCTTGATACTTCTAGACACAGTATAATGATAAGAAGATTATGATGTCATGTGTCTCAACCAAAACCTTGCATAGATGAGAACAAATGAATAAGTGGTATTAATTCAGTTAAATAAATATACATCCTGTCTTCAAATTTATTCTGAAAGTTTAAAAAATATAAAATTACAACTGTCCCTATTTTCCTTTTGTCATTGGTGTAACTTAATTTGAATTAATAATATTCAGACCCCCTGAAAAAAAAAGTTTTTCAATTTGAAACTGCTTCAAACGGCATTCATGTAGATATGTAAAAGAAATCAGAAAGTATACATTAAAATATATTGTATTTACTCAGTATAGAGCAATATGTAAATATATATAAAGTTTTTGAATAGAAATTGTATGTGGCCATACACTACAAACAAGATTCAAGAATTCTTGAACCACCTTAGCAGACATCATCACATAACAAACTCCCTGGCATGGCATGGCCAGGTGGTTAGGGTGCTTGACTCACAAACTGAGGGTCGCGAGTTTGAATCCCCTTCTCACCAAACATGTTTGCCCTGTCAGCCGTGGGGACGCTATAATGTGATGATCAATCCCACTCTTCATTGGTAAAAAAGTAGCCCAAGAGTTGGCAGTGGGTAGTAATGACTAGCTGCTTTCTCTCTAGTCTTTCACTGCTAAATTAGGGATGGCTAGTGCAGATAGCCCTTGTGTAGCAAAGTGCCAAATTTAAATGAAGCCAAACAAAACAAACTCCCTTTCCTGTACATGATGGTTACCAAGGCACATAACACTTAGTACACAAGAGTGTACTAGTATATATATCTCTGCTATACATCAAACCACTTCAACAGTATATAAATAGGAATTATAGATTGTTTAGTTTCCAGAATGAACAAGATTTTTAATACAAAAGAAGGAAGAAAAACACCTCGCTACAACCAACCTTGAAAATGGGTATGTTGAAAACTTGGTAGAGGAGAAATATATTGGACTACTTTGTACTTCAAGAAAAAATTGTTACATGCTTGAAGAAAATCATCTACTTTTGATCGAAATGAACATAGTAAATGGATACAGTGTTTTACAATTATTGTATGTAAACTAGATGTTAGAAAAACACAGGCTCAAAAAATGGATTTAACACAAAAATAAAATTTAATGGACATCATAGTGTATAATACACAATAATGTGTATGTTAGTGGAGTTTTTTCATTAATTAATGGACATCGTAGTGTATAATACACAGTACTGTGTATGTTAGTGGAGTTTTTTTCATTAATTAATGGACATCGTAGTGTAAAATGCACAATAATGTGTATGTTAGTGGAGTTTTTTCATTAATTTAATGGACATCGTAGTGTATAATACACAGTACTGTGTATGTTAGTGTGTTTTTTTTCATTAATAAATGGACATCGTAGTGTAAAATGCACAATAATGTGTATGTTAGTGGAATTTTTTCATTAATTTAATGGACATCATAGTGTAAAGTACACAATATTGTGTATGTTAGTGTGGTTTTTTCATTAATTTAATGGACATTAGTTTTGAATTAAAGTCCTTCTCAGAGTGATAACAGTGTTGGAAGTGAAGTATTTGTATTATTTGTCCTAAAACTATAACATGTTTCTGATGTCTTATCAAATTGGAAACTGTTTATGCTATATTTTTAACCTCTAGAAGATTCTAGTATCTGATCATACCCTCAGTTCATTTATCTGGTGTGAGAGTAGTTGAAATTTTGACTTTGTACTTTAGGTTTATTATGTGTTGTCAGTAATTTGATTTGTTATAGATTTTTGAGTTTTATTCTGTATGTTTCATTTTGTTCAAATGTGTTTAGTTTATCGTGATCGATAAAATGGTATTTTATCATTGTAATGCATGTTTGAATGTCATGCAAATAATCTAAAACTTGATTGTTATCAACTAATAATTACTGATTATTGTATCCGCAGTTATGCATTTAAACACATGAAAAATAAAAACTCAAATATCATTGAAGGTATATTCAGTGTACAAAAGGTGAGTGTAAGGCACTGTCTGTTTAATAGAGAGAAACTGAGCTAAATGTTTCTTATTTCTATGTTATATTATTATGTTCAGTGTCAAATGCAAAAATTAGGATTCTCATTTTGTAAGCCAAATTAAAAAACAAGTGACAAGTTTATCCTTTTTTTTTTAAACAACAAATAGCCATGCTTGATTACACTTAATGTAGACTGGAATACAACACCAATACAAGAAAATCTGAAAGTTGCTTTTTCTCTCTTACTAGTTGTTATATTTAAGTGTCTACTGATCAACGAAATTTATTTGTAACAAATGCTACAAATATTGATCATATGATGGAGTAATACTGCTTCTGAAATTATTAAAAATATAGCATTAAAGTTGGTTTGAGATGTGATAACAAAATATAATATATTTTTAAAGTTTGCATTTGTGTTCTGGTATTTATTTGTAAAGATATTTCAGTAGTTGTAAATCAATTTAAGATTTGTTTACATTTTGCTTCGCTTCACCATTCTGTGATAGTTATCAAAGGATGAGAATATATTTACTAGGTTTAAGTTACGTTAGCGAAAAAAAAAAAAGGCTAAGAACAAACAGTTTATTCCTCTCTTATTAATGTCTGCCTTATTTTGTAGAAATATTTCTCTTTAACATAACTCATAAAATAATTCACTAAGCAAGAGATTAAAAAGAATTTCTATTTTTAAACTTTTCCAGTATGGTTTTGATGCATTACGTCAACTCATACCTTCTCTTAGTCAAAATTCTCACACCAAGTTTACCAAAGCTGTCATGCTACAGAAAGGTAATGAAAACTGGTTTTGTTTAAACACGTCTTTTATCATTGGTGGTGTTTATTTTGTCTTTTGTATGGCTAATAATGAACAATAATTAATCTTAGTTCTTATTTAAAGAAAAAAACAACAAGACTGGCAACTATGTTTGCTATGAGAAACCTTTGAGATATTAAAACAATTGAGTTAACCTAGTAAATCACCATTATCAGTTTCTGATAGACAAGTAAATGTGAAAAGCTTTACTAGATTATAACTTATAAAAAACATTTTCTAAAATTTATTTAAAAGAATTCAAATTTAATCTAATATTGTATGTAATTTTATTTAAAAGGCTTTCTTGTGACCAAAAAATATTTTAGAATGAAACATTATTGCATAATAAAATCCCATCGTAATGCTGTTTCTCTATTTTAGTTCTCTTTAGAAGAATCACAATACAGCTGGTATTATATATATTCTAAAAAATTATTTTCTTGGAACTTGGCTTCTTTTCCATGACTTTTACGACTATATCTGTTTGTTTTTTTCTTTCCTGCTTCTGATCACTGAAGTCTTTGTTTGACCTCGTTAGTGTTATATTTGAATTATTTTGTTTTTATGTACTTTTCTGATCTGTTACAGATCTTGTTTTCTACCCATTTGAACCCCTAGTGATCCATTTTTCCAATATTCAAATACCTGAACTTTTTTATACCTTTTGCATTTGTAAGTTATTTTGCATCACTGCTTAAACCCATCTAGATGAATGTACCATTTTTGTGGGTGGGGAGGGGGTGATAACAGCAATATTCTACTGTTAATGCTTGCTAGTAACAAAAAATCAAATCTAAGAAATATCAAGTGCAAACAAAGATATAAATTTTGCCAACATTGCAAATACAAAATTTGGAATCCCAATATTACTCCTCATATTTCTTGATATCCTACATAATAACTAAGGTTATTCATAAAATTCTGTATAGAATGTGTTGGGTTTTTAAGCTCATTTTGTATAAAATTTCCTCTACAACATAATCAATCGATTATGTCAAACAGTTAAATCTTAAAATACATTATGTTTTCAATGTGTTCTCATATTTTTCAACTATTCTTTGCAGTCAAGCACATTTGTGAGAAAACTGAAAATTTTTTCTCTTCTTGGTCAGGTTGGATACCTTTGGCAAGCTTTGTATTCAGCAATATTTATTTCGAATTCCCCTATGGACTTTTCCCTGCTGTTGTTCTTATTTTCCTTGATAAGTTTCTGCATCTCAAGAAGTAATTTCAAGATGATAAGAAACTAATGAGATTTGTTTTTTATTGCTTTAATATATTAGTCAACAAAATCAGCACATCTTTTACAGTTTCAGAAGTTCATTAGATCTGATTTGTTTGGTTTATTGATTCTGATGGTTTCTCATAAAAAATATGCTAAATTTGAACAGTGGAACTTCTTGCAATCCTTTATTAAGATTCCAATTTTAAAGTTTGTTTGTAACATACAAAACTTTGATTCGTTAATGTTAAAACTTACACAACAATGATCTACTTACCACGTGCTACAAGCTCTTTCTCTCTCTCTCCTTCTCTTCTCGTTGCCAACACAGCAACCTCCACGAGGAAAATAAACAATCAAGCGACTCAGTTGCCTTAAGCCCATATGACACTTCCCCTGTTGATTCAAAATTTTCTTTTGTTCTTTAATCACACATGGGGCGAAAAGAAATAATAGTTTCTGAACATCCCAGGTTAGCTTTTAGACTTTTAATTTGTTAAAGCTTGAAAGTCCTTTAAACCTAAAGTCCTATCAAGAAGATTTGTTAGGAAACAATATTATGATTAGGTTGTGGTTTAAGTCTTTTTGTTTGTCAGTTGATGTATCTTCTTTTATTTATGGTGATAGGTCTCTCTCTGTGGTATTTATAATAAGGGATTAGATATTTTTCACTTGGAAAATTTCCCATGGATTTTTTTTTTACTGGTTTCTTATTGCCCAAAGTTTGTGAGTTGTGCTGTTTATTTGTTCAATCTGATAGTATCTGGATTTCTTTGTTTTGTACAATTGCATAATGTACTTTATTACTAGCACCATGTTTTGCCCTGAATTTTAATCATAATGAGACAGAATGTTTTGCATTTTTACAGTAATGAAATGATTCCAAATGCTAAAATAATTATTATACATAATATTTGTCTTTCAGGTGCTGAATACATTCAATATTTAAAATCTCAAAAGCTACAACAACGGGAAGAGATTCAGGCTCTTCAACAAGAAATCAAAAGTTTAAATGAGGACATATGGTAGTATTATATTGCTTTAAATTGTATAATTTTATATTGTGTATCTCTATCAACCATAGTGTCTACCACATGTTACATGCATCTCTATCAACCATAGTGTCAGTCATGTTACATAGTCTCTATCAACCATAGTGTCTACTACATGTTACATAGTATCTATCAACCATAATGTCTACCACATGTTACATACGTCTCTTTCAACCATAGTGTCTACCACATGTTACATAGTCTCTATCAACCATAGTGTCTACCACATGTTACATAGTCTCTATCAGCCATAGTGTCAGTCATGTTACATACGTCTCTATCAACCATAGTGTCAGTCATGTTACATACGTCTCTATCAACCATAGTGTCAGTCATGTTACATACGTCTCTATCAACCATAGTGTCAGTCATGTTACATAGTCTCTATCAACCATAGTGTCTACCACATGTTACATACGTCTCTATCAACCATAGTGTCTACCACATGTTACATAGTCTCTATCAACCATAGTGTCTACCACATATTACATAGTCTCTATCAGCCATAGTGTCAGTCATGTTACATATGTCTCTATCAACCGTAGTGTCTACCACATGTTACTAATTTGTATATGTTGTGACCTTAAGTAAGAACATGTTCTGAAGATCTTAAACCCTATATATTGACATCCACGATATAGCATTTTCTGGTGAGATTCATACTAATTTTTGTTCTCTTTTTACTGTGGAAACAAGACTTAACAAGCAAGTGTTTTTATTCAGTTTGTTCCAACAACAACTGCCAGCAACTGGTGCTCCCGTGATGCATTCTCAGTCAACCAAACTGAAGGAGCTATTTGAAGAGTATGTACGGCAAAGAACACTTCAAAACTGGAAGTTTTGGGTTGTATCCTTCTGAGTGAAAATAGTTTTTCAGTGATATAAGCTGACTTTTTGATCTGAACTTGTTTACAGATAGCCTATCTATTGAGAGAGATGTGCTGTAACAACCTAGCAAATATAATTTACTGCCTAGTGTAATCTGAAATGATTGAGTTCTTGTAGATAATTCAAATTACTGTGGACACTTAATCTTATATCTTTAACCATTTTATATAATTTTTGTTTAGTGGAAGAATATGTGTGTAACAAGGAATGATTTAATACTCAGATGTTTTTTACCTTAACCAACTTACAGTTCAGTTTAATAATGGAACGTTTGTTAGAAACGTACAACAACAATGTCTCCACTGCTAATGTGGACGAATTCTGCAGAACTGTACTGGCTTGGTTAGATCAACACTGTTCTCTTAGTACTTTAAGACCTGGTATATTATTTATTTATATTTTAAATTTATATTTGTATTAATCAAAATCATTTAGTTATTAATGATAGTGTAAATATGTAAATACTTGAGATGTGCAAACAGTAAATAAGGAAAAAATACTATTGGAAAATGTAGTCTGAAGGGGAAAAAGTTTAATATTATATATATATATATATATATATATATAAATAAGGAAAATATTGTAATCTATAGAAATGAAAATTTCCCTTTGAAATATTATTCTTGAGGGACTGATTACTTCTAATAAAAGGTACAGTGTGACTTGCCCCAAAAAGGTAATATTTTTTAGAGGGAAAATACATTTTAATGTAGTAGGTAGAACACAAAACCAAAATCATTATTTAGAATATAATAGTCACCATATCAGGGTGGTTAACTGAAGAGTTTCTGGTATTTATATCCAATTGCTAGAAGTCTTTAAGTTTGTAAAACTTTGATGGTTTATAAGTGTAGAAATCCATGTGCAATAAGTGAATAGACAGAGTGGAAAATTAAACTGATAACTTTCTTAAAGAATTAAATGAAGATCTGGCTATACACAGGAAGTGTTATGAAGGGCAAATTATATCAATATATATATATAGGTATTCCTTCATGATCTTATATGCTAAATTAAAAGTATAAAAAACTGTAGTAGTAAAAAGTGGTTTAAAATTCTGACACATCTCTTTCTTGGGAACACATAAAAAGTATCAGAAGTTAATGTGATCATTCTCTGGAAACATTCTTATTACTATTTCGCTATAAAAAAATTGCAACATCTCACAGATTGTTTATAATGGTAGTATCTATAAAACTGCAAGATGTTTTCTTCACTGATTACGAACTTAGTTGAATACCTATGTTTGAGTTCATTATGTAACCAAACTTAGAAAGATCTAGATAAATGACATTTTACAAAAGCATTGGAATGGTTGAAAAAATATACACACACACATAAAAAAAGCCACTTGGTTATGGTAGTGCTAATTTAGAATTAAATTTATCTAAGAGATCACTCCTTTCTGCCATTTGGTAAGTTTTGAAGGCTGTACTCCAATGCTTACCTAATAACAGTCATGGTTATTGCAGACTCAGTATGGGGTGGAAGGGCTGTAATACATAGAGAACTACTGGGAAAAGGATTTTGGCTAAATGAAAGTGAAAAATAATGGACAAGTAGCATTTGGCAAAAATAACATAATGAAGTTATGATTTTGCCCTAAATTCATAGTGCTAACCCAGTTCACTAATGAATCAGCAGAAGGCTGGTAGGCAGTGTTAACTAAGAGAATATAAAATTTAAGGTGTGGAAAATGGCTCTTAGATTTCAACACTAAACATTCTAAAGTGAAGAAAGATAAGATGCATTTACTCAGTCTGGATCAGTAAACTGTGGACCTATAGTAAACACAGTAAAAGAGGCAATCTGGTTGTTGTTTAATACAATCAAAATGATGAGTGATAATCTAAGTAATATCAGCAGATAATATATTTCATTAGTAGAATGTAGTCCTTTTTGTGTTAGCTTAAGTAAATCATAACTAGGGATTTAAAGATGGTGTCAGACTTTCTAAATTTTGCTCTTTGTTTTCATGGTATAATTACTTACCTGTGTTAGATCTTTTATACCTCCCATACAGTCTACTTCAAAAATCTAAGGTGTTTAGCATTAAATGAAGATACTTTATTTTTTTGCCCTTTTTCTGTTGTTTCTATGCTGATATCTTTCTTAGATTATATGTAGAACGACTGCTGATATATTGTGTTAACAACTAAAACTGTTAAGGTATAATTTTAGAAAGAATGGATATTATTTATGAAAAATGTTCATAACTACAAGCTCTAAAACATTTGGTTTTGAAACAGTATTTAATACTACCTTAAAAAAAATAACTTGTTCAAATTGAATAATTTTTTTCAAATCCATTACTCTTTCTCGAAACTTGGTATTATATTGGTTATATAGATTTTTAATTTACCCTGCTTTTCTGTTTATGATGGAAAAGGAATTACTTCAAGGCTGAAAAAAAAAATTAATAGGTTTTGTGTGATGACATTCCATAATTGAAATGATTTGATTTGTGATGTGAAGGTACTCTTTTGGAAAAGATAAATTATAAACTTGAGTGTATCATTATGAAATTCAGATTACTTTTGATTGAATTAAAAGGCTACATTTACTTGCAACATAACCTTGAAACTATTATTTATTTTCTCACTCCGTTGTTACCAGGTGTTCTCAGCTCTCTCTGCCATCTCAGCACCTCCACCAACATCTTGTCAGATCCGTCCAAAATGCCAGATGAGGCCACAAGAGCAGTTACGAAGAATGAACCACAGTTTTACTCTTAGCATTGTTATTTAACTGGTACTAAAGAATTTGTTGCTTGCTTTCACAAATTTTATTGCTTAAATTAGTGTACTTGTATATAAAATAGCACATTTTAAGTGTTTTCTATTCTATGTATAGATATATAAATACATATAATAAAAGTTAGTATATGGAATTTGTATGATAATGACTGAATAACACTACTTAACAGTAAACTTGTAATAAGGTTGTGAGCTATTGGTTGCAGTACAAACTTGGGCATGTCCAACTAGTTGCATATAGTTTTATTTCATATTTCTATGCCAATTTTTTCTCTTTCAATCTTTATATATTTGTCAACAACTTCATTAATCTAATGGTAGCAATTAGTTGGATTGTGTTTCAGTTTTTCTAGTCATGAGTACCTTTCGTCTTTGTACAATCACACACACAAAAAATAACTTCTGCGCCAGTAATATAAGTGGTGGTTTTCTTCTGTATACAATTGTAAAAAAAGCCTTGTTTAAAGAATTTCTGAAAACATGTATATTGGAAATGATGTAACTGAGACAGTCTTAAGGTTAAGGTTCATTATCTTGAAAACATACTTTATGAAATAGTTTTGGTTGATTAGAAATTGTTCAACATTCAATTCTTGGGATTTTTTTTTTTTTTTTCACAATTGTATTCTGGCAAGTACTAATTGTAGACAATATTGAACTAACAATCCTTGTTTATTTTTTATGTCTGTTAATAAATATGAGAAAAAAATTTTTAAATATTAATTATCAAGATTTATGTTTTTTTTAAGCAGAAGTCCAATACTTAACCAGCTAGCTTTGAGCAACTTTAATGAAATATTTGTTTATTTAAATATTATAATATGGAACTTTTTTATATATTTTTCACTTTATAAATTTTTTATTAGAAATGATCCAACAAATATAGTTGTTTTTGAAGATCATTTTAAGTTACAATATTCAAATTCCAAATATCAAATGTAGAAATGGCAGTGAGTAAAATGTAGAATTTGTGGGTTTTTTTGCTTAGAATTTGTATATTTTTCATTGTATGAAGTTACGTTTTATATATAGTTAATAGATTCTTTATAGCCTTGAGATGTCTTAGCTAGCAGAGACATTTTTGACAGATTTGTGTCCATTTGTACAGCATAGTTTTACCAAGTTACAAGCATTAACGTTGGTGTTGATCATGAACAGTGCGAGTTTAATATTAATGGAAGTTGTAAAATTCCAAATAAGAGTTATTGTTCATTAAATAATATATAATTTGTTTTCTTATTTGTTGCCTAGATATATATGAAAATTATTTTGAGGGTAAAATTTTATAAATATTCGCATATTATTCCAAAATTGGATTCTGTTAATACATTAAGATAAGTAATATGAAAAAAATATATTAAAAATGTACTGAATTACACTTACACTTGTTTGCTTATGTTAAAAATTTTATAAATTAATACCTTTCAAGCTGTAAATAAAAAGTTTAAATAACTTAATAACCAAAAGATAAAAAAAATTTTATTGACTATGTGTTTGATTATAAATATGAACCCCTGTTGGAGAGAAAATGAATTTGGTTTCAGTACTAAGTTGTACTTTATGGCAGTGGGAAAGAACACAAACATGTTGTTGTTTTAATGGGAACAAATGTAAACAGTTATTTTGTGTGAATATTTTTATTGTTTATTTTTATATAAAGTGTTTGTTTTTTCAACTTGCTCGTCAAGAGAAATAATTGCACACATATATGACCTTTTAAAGCTTTGTTTTCAGATGTTACAAATTTATTCTATTGTTATAAAATGACAGTTTTCTATAGAGTAGTGATTCAATAACCATGGATGGTTTTCAAGTTGCATTATAATTTGTCGAACTTAACTTGACGAGTTTTTAAAAGGTAAAAATACGCAGATATTAAAAGGATTCATTGAGTATGCTAATAAATATTTTTTTTCTTAACACTTTTTAATATCTACAGAATTAATTTATGTAAGTATAAATAACATGAAAAACATTTCTCCTGTAAAATCAACAATCAAGAGATGGAAATAATAGTTTAACACTGATTTCATGAAGTTGAAGGTTAGTGTATAAATACTGAGTATATACACAATAGTAACTTACTTCGAAGTGTAAAAGTAGCATCAAATATTTCATAGATTCACTTTCACCAGAAAAAAAAAAGAATTTAAATTTCCTTGTTTAATTAAATCAATCAAGTATGCCCTATTATATTTAAGTACCATAGTTTAAATTAATTTATTTTTAAATAATCAGAAAAGCTGCTGGTTAAATGTATGTTTGCTGTTAAGGTAGTATAGCCTGGTGTTTAGGGTGCTTGACTCTCAATCTGGATGTTTGAATCCAATCACTGAATGTGCTTGCCCTCTCGGCCATAGGGTTATTACATGATGGTAAATCCCACTATTTTTTGGTAAAGAAGAGTAGCTCAAGAGTTTGAAGTGGGTGGTGTTGATTAGCTGCCTTCCCTGTAGACTACCACTGCTAAATCAGAGATGTCTAGTGCAGATAGCCCTTGTGTAACTTTGCACAGAATTTAAAACAAACCAAACTTAAAGTAGTTGTTTCTTTAATATATCTAATCTTCTGTAACAGAAGATAAATTCAACTGTATATCTTGTAGTAACTTCATAAAATTAGTGTAAAATTTTTTTAGACATAACCAAATTTTTTTTTATTATTAAAAATGTCCATGGCCTAGTGGTTATTGTTTTGGACTGAGGATCTAGGGGCTCATGGTGCAATGCTTTTGAATATGCTTTGCACTTACAACTGTGAGTTAAAAAATAGAAAGTAGGTCCCCTTAATTGGTTTAAAGCCCTTGTGGGAACAGATGCCGTTACTTCTCTCTCCTCTTGTCAGAATTGCAAAATTACCAATGGCTTTACTTAAATCTCGGGATTTTCTGGCATGGCTATTTAGACTGTAAAAATATTGCCATTCAGATCTTAAAATTCCAATACTATTTAAAATTAAAATATAGGTTGCAGATTAGACAAGTTTACTTATTTTTTTACACACATCTAGAGTGTTAATGGTCAGTCAAAGAAGTATGTAAATTGCAATGAAGTTGGTGATACATCATATGTATATCTTAGAGTGAATCTCTTAAAAATTGACATTCATTTACAAGAGTCATACAATGGAGTTGTTTTTATATATATATACTACCATTTTATGATCAATATCTTAGTTCTTAAGTAGTATATATTTCCAGAAATAAAGGTTTTAATTCATCTACACAATACAAGTGATAAGTGTTGCCAAGTCTGCTTATAATGAGTAGAATTGGCTTCTTTGTTTTAGAGTTGCAGGTTACATTTTTTGGGCTTGTTTTATTCAGAGGTTGCTCACTTGGGCTTTTTTTTGTAATAGTTGACTTCAAAACACAGTAAAATGGTTGTAGGAGTGGTTTTGGTGATTGAGTGGGTCAATGAATAGTCTACACATCATTAGAATTTTAGTATTATCCTATCCAACTCCTATTCAATTAAAAAAACACAAGTGCAAACTTTTTGGCCTGCCCACTTGAAACATTCTATATTCCAATTAGGCCATGCAAATTATCATTTTGAGGGTAAGCCATAAAAGAACAGTTTTGATAACGGTGCTGGTGGTTTCGAACAGCAGTGCCCACTTATTTTTCTCACGAGACTTGGCTACACTGCAAGAGATGTTTTGCTGTAGCTAAAAACTAAACCTCTCTGTAAATTATCTTCTTGTAGTTTTTGTTTTTTTAATGACAAAATAAGTCAATTAAAAATTGCTTATGAACAGTGTTGTTAAAAATATGGTAATTAATATTCCACATAGTTTTTGATAATTTTTTCAAATTTTATATATTTATGTTTTTGGACACACTTTTTCAAAATGTCATAAAGGTTATGTCATTACACGTATATCGGTATTAGGCCTTTCTCAAATGGTATTGTATTGGTGTATTATCAGTAAAAACTTGCATAATAGTATGAATTCAAGAATGGGTTAAGAACTATTTATGGTGAGGTGTTGACATGTGCTTAACATTTCCTTCAAAGTTGGGAGATAAAAATGGAGAGGGGATCGTATAAATGCATTCAGAAATAACCACGACAAGAGAGAGAGAGAGAGTTATAATTCCCAATCAATTTCCTGGGAACACAAGGTTATACAGTAACTTGGTGCTACTTTTATACTTATTTATTTTGTATCTTGGATATGACATTAAAAAAAAAAAGCTCAACACAAATAACCACTGCTCTACCTAAGTTATGCATCTGTGTTTCTCTATACATAAAAAAAAGAATAGCATTAATAAATTAAATAAGTCATATCTTGTATTTAAATATAAGCAATGTATCTTGCTGCACAAAAAATGAGAAATCCAGTCAGACAACAATCTGTTTCATGTATAGATGTTTATTATTGAGCATGGTAGGCTAGAAACAGCTACCAAAATAAATATACGAATCCCAGTTCCAGGCCAAGTCTCAGCCAAGTCTTGTGGCTGTGGCTTGGCATGGCAATGGAGAACTTAGACAAATTACACATACTTTGTTACTAAACCCAGACTGCTATTTCTGAAGTTTATATACAAGTTCAACCAACCTTACTTTATCAAATAATATGGCTAAAAGAAAAATCAATATGTTAAGGTTTTTAGAACAAAAGTAACCATAAAAAAAATGATATGAAAGGGAGGGGAAAGAGAGTTCATTTTACAAATTTAAAAGTTTTATTTCTTGCTATCTAAATTCCAAAATGATAATGAGTTTGTGATCAATGTATTGAGATTTCTACTAAACTGTTTTCTTTTAATAAATGCATGTATGAAACTTTTACACCACGATCACCCTCTGTAATACATACACATACAATAAATTGACAATTCTCAGTAATAACCATGATTGTTTAGCAAGACTCGTATAGCCTACATTCCTATACACAAACTGTACAAATGATGAAGACTTGTAAACACTCCACGATTCTGGCCATTTTAATAGATATTAAATTATATTCTAGTCACAGATGGAGTAAAGTCAAGTATCTTCTTCAGAGAAGATACAATTTCTTAAGTAAATATATTTCTGTGCAGATGTCTGATGAGTGCTGATATATACAAAATAAATAGTACTGCAGTCTCTGATGGGAATCTTTCTTCCCATGTGTGTGATATATGTTCAGTTTATTTAACGTGCTGTGATACGTTTCTCAAACAATAAAGCATAACTTTTCCTATATAACATTTTAACAGACCTATCCCCAATCATTTCACAATGCTCATGACCTATACACATGCTGGTTTGTGACTGTGGCCTTAACATGGACCCAGAGTGGCAGTGCACGACTGGAGGACTTCCCTGATATGTGGTTTTGTTCTCGTTGCCTTTACCAAGTTGGGCTAGAGAAGATAATTTGAGGACCTAGAATAGGTTAACAGCTCTTCACACAACTGCTTCCATCACGTGACAGAGCTGCATCAAGATCTGGATGTGGACTGGCAGGCAAGAGCGACGATCATGAGTAACGGGGTCCAAGGACAGCCAAGACAAGGCATTGTAACCTTCAAGAACATACCTGAAAGGAAATATAATAATTACGTTACTTTCCATCGTGCTGAACAAGGTAATTTGATAAATAAAACCCTTTTATTTAACAGTACTTACAACTAGCTAACCTTTTTTTTGTCACCAGTACATCTCTCACAAAAAAAATTTTCACTATCACCTACATTCTACCTTTCTCCTTCTGAAATATTCTGCAGCAGTATTATCAATTACCATATGACATTACAATTATACACAGTCTGCAAAAACAGGGACTTTACAATACATATCCCTCTCTAACATAAAAAGTAGTTTTATGGAAGAAAACGGTTGAGTTGATGATATATGCCATTTCAGGAAAATAAATGTAAAATATAGAAAATCCTGTATACGTTTAATAAAACACATACTTTTTCCCAATTTTTTGAATACTACCAAGGTCAGGACTGAGTAACACAGGTGATAAATTATGATTTCACTTACTTACTGAAACTTAAACAAGCCACATTATACATCTTCACACTGCCCAGGAAAAGTGGAATAAGCAATAGAAAAATAATCAGTGTAAGTGGAGGTAGTTGAAACCATGCTGGTAAGGTTCAAAATCAGAAATAAGGTAAAACCTTTTCGTGATGGGTACCTCTTTAAACCCTTTTCTAGACAAGTCATTGTGTTACATTAAAAGTTTAATTAAACACCTTTAATATCAACGTATGTGAATGAAATTAACATTAAAATGTATGTTTTGATTCAAAGTTTTATGTTATCTAAGTTTTGACTCCATTATTTCAAGAGAAACCTTTAAAAAACTATTTAAATTTCAGATTTATTGTCACGTGACCAACAAGCTATGAAAATTATCTACCTTGGCTCTCTGTATCTTCAATAATACAATGGTAGTTGAGTAGAGATACTCTAGACAATAAAATGCTCAATAACCTTTTGACTCACACATTTCAAAGTTCTTAGAATGAATACAGTTGAAACAAGTGATAAATGTTTTCAACCCCTGACAGGTACCACTCCCACCTTCAACAGATTTGTTTGAGTTTTATAGCCTACATAGACGTTACATAAACGTGTGTATTGTCATTAGAAAGAACGCATTTTACACTATAATCTAACAATGGTTATTTTGAAATTGGCATGCAGTTTTCATCACGGAGTACATGTAACTGACTGTAGTATTGTTGGCTGTTTGATCAACTAAAGCACTTACGGTTGTTTCTTACCTCAATATGTTATAATTAGAGATACAGTTAACTTGTATTTAGGTCTTACTTTTATATTTTAGTTAATTATGTTTTAAAATGCATAATTGAAAGGTTTAAGCAGTTTTTAAACATACACCATTCTTTTGCAGCAGTTCTCAAGACTTAAGATATTACAAGGTGAACTAAAATTTTTCCAAAGGGTTGCATGTCTCCCAGAAACACCATAATATGCCTCAAGGGCACCACTAACTTGTGTTGAGATAAATAAGTGATAAAGGACAAGAAAAACAAATAAAACATAAAAATTTAACTATATGTGAAAAGGAAAAGACCCAAAATTATGAATATAATCAAAACAACATCTGTAAAGATATTCTCCAAAAATTAAAAGGCATCTATTTTTTTCTATTTCCTAATTTTAATTATTTCATTGCATTATACATTGATGGTAATAGCTTAAGTTAGTGATATGGTAGAGAAAATGAAAAATAAAATGTAAACGTTTACCTTAAAATAACTTTTGATATTCATTTATGAGGCTCTAGAGGTTATGCAAATGAAATATGAAAACTATAAGATGAAGAAAAGTATTTTTATACTTAAAATGACCTTGTACTCAAATTATTTTAAGAGCCTGAGTCCAAATAACTACTATAGCTAAATAATATTTTTATTAGAAAGATGTAATTAGAATAATGTCATTTTTTGTGTACAAAATATTTATAAACTTTAACAAAATCTTACGAGATTATAGTACTTTTGTTACATAAATGTCCTTCCCTAGTGGAGCAGATGGTAATCTATCTGCCCGTGTTTAAAGGGTTAAAGGAAGCAAAGACTAAAATCAGATACATCAACTCCTGGAGAAGACAAAGGTCAAGTCCAGGAGGCCATAATGGTACATGCTAGGTTTGGTAACAACTGGTCCAGATGTTTGCCAGTTATAAGCAGACATATCATTTTGTCAAACAATGTTTTAGCTTAAGTTTATCTATAATTGTAGGTCAATGACACAGTATGTTTAACATAAGAAAGGGTCAAAGTTTTTGACCCTTTTTGTGTTTTAGTTGTACATATCTTATATTTCAACAACATAAAAGATAAAGCTCTTGTTGTAAAGAAGTTTTGTACCTGAGTACATCAGTGGTAAGATTTGAGTCGAGTGGATGACAGTTTCGTATGTGAGGATTGGAGTGGAGTAGATCCTCAGAACTCTGCTGCACTGCTGGAGAGTGGATTAACAGGGCTGACTGTAAGAAAACTAGAGCTGTTAATAACTTAATAGTGCAACCCAAACTCAGCATATTATTCTCCTGAGTTTGCTACTACATACCCATGTTAGTATGGAATATCTTTCAAATTTTACAATTTAGTAGTTTAAACTCTAGACCAACCCTTTCTCAAACCATATACAGTTCTTTATTAAATACAAAATTCAAACAATACTTATTATGTTGTATTATAATTATAATGATCAACTTCATTACCTACACTGACACTAACATATGGTGATGATCAACTTCATTACTCACACTGACACTAACATATAGTAATGATCAACTTCATTAGCTACACTGACACTAACATATGGTGATGATCAACTTCATTACTCACACTGACACTAACATATAGTAATGATCAACTTCATTACTCACACTGACACTAACATATGGTAATGATCAACTTCATTACTCACACTGTCACTAACATATAGTAATGATCAACTTCATTACTCACACTGACACTAACATATGGTAATGATCAACTTCATTACTCACACTGACACTAACATATGGTAATGATCAACTTCATTACTCACACTGACACTAACCGACAAATTACAAATATAAGTTAACTTTTTTTTTATCACCAACCTTAAGGAAGACAGGACATGAATCTTTGAGATGAGGACAAGGTGACCAGAACCAACTGGGTAAAGGTCCAGTCTGTGCAGTGGACACATAATAACCTAAGGCTAATGGCTGCTGTAATAGCTGAAGTGGTTCCTCTTGTGCATCAACTCCCAAGCTACCAGAACTCTAAGGAAAAGATTAACAACAGAAATGAAGATAAGCAGAAACATTAATAAGAAAATATAACATTTACCATACGAATTCCGTATAATTATAGTGCTCAGCAAATACAATAAATTTTATATTTTTTTAAAGCTTTTTTACAAAAAAAAAAAATCTTCAGCGATTCTTCTTTACAAAATGTACTTGTGTACTATGATGTGTGATATCACTTGTCGATAATGATTTTATAGATAGAACTTTACCTACAACTGATCTTATGCATAAAGTTAATACAAATACATACAAAAACTAAGGTTTCTTACCTTAAATTTTAATATATATCTATAGTAAGACAAAATCAAACCTTGCAGTCACATACCCTAGTAACTCCACCGTGTGGAAAAGGTGAATGTCTACCACCAACACCACTGGGACTTCCTAGTTGAGAAGCAGAATCTCGGCGTGGAGAACCAACTGGACTTTGTGTTGGACTCTCTGTCCATCTAAAAAGGTCATTAATATCTGGGCCAACATTGATATCATCATCATTTAGAGCCTGAAAGATGTCATCATCTCCAAAAGTTGTGCCCAGTGGCTCAATATGCTCTTGATGAAATGCTGCTTGTGTGGACTACAGACAGAAAATATTGTATTAAATGATTATTCCATGGTCTTTGAATTTAACAGATCACAAAAAGCTACTTGAATTACGATAGGCCTTTTCTTGAATTAAATATATCTGTTGAATAATGCAAGAAAATAATAAGCAGTTTTTTTATTTTAAAATAATGGTTTTTAATAAACAAAGTTCCTCTGCCATTGAGATCTAAGTTATAAATTATGCACAAAAAAACTTAAAAATAAATTCTTTTTTCATAATTAAGAGAACCCTAATGTCATGAACCAGCTAGAAGTGTAACTGGTAAAACTACAAATGCTAACGTTAACATTAACTTGCCCATAGATGCTGAGGAAATTTTTGAACCAAACTTTACAAATTAATCGCATATTCTAAACACTTTAAATAACACTCCCAAACTAAAATGCTGAACATACTGGTCTATAGTCATATATTATTTCTTATGTTTCTGAACAACAGGCCTTAATTAAAATAAACCACAAAAACCTGCTAATTTAATTTAGATTCAAAAACATTTCCTGTTGTTTTGATGTCAAATGGTTATGATGAAAAAATAAATTATAAAAACATTTCCTTTCTAAACCAAGTAATGTTGACTAACTTCAGAACCTGTGCATCTGTATTTAATGTTCAAGTAGCTTCTTTTTATACCTAAATACGAATGAAAATGTTTCTTAGTTGAAAGTTGGCTTACCAATTAAGGTACTATTGAAACATTAGTTGGATTTTAAGGCCAACTCAATGATCAAGTAACTAGGAGCACATGAAATTCTATATGAGTCTATCTTTTACTGCTGATACCACAATGTTTTTCAAAGTTTAAACTTTATTGCTTTATGCCCTATTTTTATTTATTTTTATAACATTTGTTAATTTTTTAAAAGCAGTTTGCAGCTATAAACTTTACACATTACTATGTGGACATTGCAATTACTATTAGGAAAGAATTTATAATATTGTATGGTTAGGCTAAAATGTACCTGGGCAGTAGCTGAGGTTGGGAAGACCAATATGTGAGTGCAACTGGCATCCTCTGGTGTACTAAGATCACAAGAATGGCAGCTACTACTAAAATGATCATCAGGGGTGAATTCTCCAGGCATGATACGAAGTGCTGAGTCGGGCTCTAAGGAAACCAGACATGCCGAAAGGATACAGGGTGTGTCAGCAGGTCCCAAGACAGCACACTGCCGACACAGTTCCCACAGGTGCCGGCTGTACTGCAACAAAGACCGTCGACTCAAGAGAGCTGCCCAGTCTTTCAGTTCACCATGACCTAGGCGACCCAATCGACCAACCACCAGCCGCCACGGCTGGACTGTGGAAGACATCACACCAAGAAGGAAGTTAAGAAGTTTATGGAGGCCCATCCCTCGGGAAGATGCTTTTTTTCTTCTCGTTCTGTTGATTAAAGGAAAAAAATATACCACATGCACTATAAGAAAATTCAATCATAATCTGCTAGTATCTAAGTTTCATGTCCTAGTGGGAAAAAAAAAGACTTTTAGTTTTGATAAACTCCAATAAATTCTTATTTCACAGATAAAAAAACATAGGTGTAATTTTCCTTCCTAACTCCCAATGAATAAATGTAGCAGAGCAATATCATCAACACCACAATTACTTCTATTTTATAAACAAATCATGAAAGGTCCTCACCTATTAGGAATTTCAACGTTTATACTACAAGTTTCAAGAAGTTCTCCTTTATCATTGGTGCAGGAAGCTACCAGCCATCTCTGGTCTTCTACTAAACAATAAGTACAGAACAAAATGTTGGATTTCTCTTGGCGATCACCAAACATTTCACCCAACTCTGTCTGCTTGTCCTTCATGGGTGCCAAAATGAAAGGTGGGCTGTATAGTCTATAAGGTCCCGAATTTTTCTCCTGAATAACCGAAAAAAATTATATACAATTCAATATTATTTGCAAATATTAACGGCTGAAAAAAAAAACTTTTTTTTTAATAATTGTGAAACACACCAGCTAGAAATATAACAAAAGCACAACATTTCTACTGCCATCAGAAATCCTTATCAAAGGTCCGACTCCTCGTAGTAAGCACCAGTATTTCAAAAGTATAAATGATTATGTACTGGTTTGTTCTTGACACTGAAAACAAAGTCTATATACCTATGCAGGGAAATGCTAACCTGCATCTCAGTTTAGTTAGATGATGGGCCCAAATTAACGATGTGTTACCCTTCCTAAGAAATTTACAAAACATTTTGTGAAACATCCGAGACTTAATAAATTTCTTAGTCAATGGCTGGACTGCTTAATGATGTATGTTCAGCTAAAGTAGATTCCATAATTTGACCATTAATATATAATGTTCATATCTCACTTGTAATGGTCATCCACTACAACCAATGTTATCACAGTTTTCCTACTGATTTGGTTAAGAAAACTAGACTATTCTAAAGGATATCCACAAATGTAACACTATTTGCACGAGGGAAGTTTGGCTTAAAAGAAACTCAAACATCAGTCAAAGTAAAAAATTCTGGTAAGTTATCATTTATACCATGAATATATGGTAGGGTAAACCAATTTTAGAATTATTCACTATCATAATAAGAACTGTGTTTTCATTTACTAAAAAAAAAAATTAACATAGAATTCATGTTTCCATACTAAACACCTTATTATTCTTTTTATTCAAAGCATTTTTAAGCCTCAAGTAGAATGTAAATGTCAGTTTTTAAATGAACATGAAGATAAAACAATGTGTACTAAAACTACATTCTACAAAATTTCTTGGCTCAAAGCCACATGACATGAGACTCTGAGAGAGAACCTCCACTCAATGATCTTTCAAAATAGAAAAGTTTACTTTTATTTAGGTTACTGTTACGTTACAATTGCTCTCTATTCCTGTTACAGCAGTACATGCAGAGTCTGTACATTTTCCATCATGTGAAATTCTAGGACTTTGGCAATTCTCCAGGACCAGAAAATTGGGACTAACAAAGGAAGCAAAGGGCACTTAAGCACAACAAGTAAATAAGATATTGTATATTAAAACAAAGACTATCAATTTTTCCCTCTTTCTGGATTTTGATGTTTTCAATTAGAATAACAGTATAATAATATAATTAACTGAAATATGTATTCATGATCCATTTACAACCAATGAGTATCATCTTAATGTCAAAATGTAGTTTCCATGACAACAACCTTACATAACGAGGAGCTTTGGAAATTACCTGTTATTCCTTTTACAATAGGAGCCCCTTTAAATGCTTTTCTGCACAAGTTACTGTGTTACATTCAAACTTTAATTAAACACCTTTATCATCAATGTATTTAATATTTGTTATGATTCAAAGTTTTATTTTATCCAAGTTTTAAGTCCTTTATCACAAAATAAACCTTTAAAAAACTACTTAAAACTTCAGATGTATTGTCATGTGACAACTGAGCTTTGAAAAATCTCTACTTTGGCTCTCTGTATTTTTAATAATACAATGGTAATAGAGTAGAGGTACTTCTAGCCACTAAGATGCTTATATAACCTTTTAACTCATTCCTTTCAATGTACTCTGAATGAATACAGTTAAAACAAGTAGTAAATTTTTTCAACCTAACAGCTGCCACACCCACTTTCAAGAGATTTGTTTGAGCTTTATCCCTTCCATGTAGATGTTACATATACATGTATATAACAGTTAGAAAGAGCTCATTTTACAGAATAAACTAACAATGGTTATTTTCAAATTGGTGCCAAGTCTTTGTCACAGAGTACATGAAATTGACTATCTCATTGTTTGCTACTTGATCGACTAAAGCACTTATAATTGTTTCTTACCTAAATATTTTAAAGTTAGAGATACAGTTGAACTTGTGTTTAGGTCTTACTATTATATTTTAGTTAATTATGTATTAGTTATGCTTTAAAATAGATAATTAAAAGATTTAAACATTTTTTAAATATACATCATACTTTGCGTCCATTCTCAAGGCTTAAAATATCATGCGCTGAACGAAAATTTTCCTGAAGGATTGCACATGTCACCCAAAGAAACTGTAGTATGCCTCGAGGGCACCGTTGACTTGTGTCAAGATGAATAATAAGTTGTAAAAGACAAGAAAGGAAAAGAAAACATTAAAGCTTAACTGTATGCGAAAAGGAAAGGAGATGAAATTATGAATTTAACAAAAGAAAACTACAAAAAATTAAATATAATATATTTCTATTTCCTAATTTTAGTTACTTCATTGCATTATATGTTGATGATAATAGCTAGAGTTAGTGATATGGTAGAGAAAATAAAAATTTACATTAAAAATTTTTGATATCCTTTAAGGAGGTTTTAGAGATTATGCAAATAAAATATGAAGCTATAAGACGAAGAAAAGTATTTTTATACTTGAAATTAAGATTACTTTGGACTTGAAATATTTTGCCAGTTTGAGTGGAAATAACTACAAAAGATAAATAACATTGTTATTAGAAAGGTGTAATTAGAATAATGTCATCCTTTATACAGTTTAACAAAATCCTATGAGGTTTTGTGAGGAATGCTCAGAGTTACCATCTGTTTTTTGCATCTATGTCCTTTCCCAGTCAAAGTGACACAAAATGTATCAGCCTATGATTAAAGGGTTAAGATCCTTTTGGTTGCGAGAATAACACTTCTAAAATCCAGCTAAGACAAAGACCAACTAGCAAGGTTTACCTGCCAAGTCTGGGAAATCAGAATTAAAAAAAACATTCTCAAAACACTTTCTAACTTTCAATGGGCTTGGTATTCTCTAACTTTCTAGGAACCCCAGTTCTATTAAATTTGGAAATTTCTAATCTTTCACAGATGGCAAAAACTCTGAAAACACTTTTTGCACAACAGATGCTAACTTACATCCTTCGTCTTGACAAACAGTTCCTTGCTGGCAGCAGGACCAAATCCTGTCAGGGATTTGATGCCTGGTTGGTTGAAGAGAAGACGTGGACACTGAGAGAACACAGAAAAGGCCAAAGCTTTCAGCTCATCTTGATTATGACTTTTGGCTTCAGATTTACCCAAACAAAGAAGAGAGTCTAACCTCACCATCTGAAAACAAATGTTTTTAAAGTTGAATGAATGAAATATTTCTGTAATAAAACAACTATCTTAACATACATATGAAAAAAATATGTTCAGGTGTTTCAAACAACATAAGAATTTCTAAAAACTGGCAAAAACAAATATTCCTGATAAGTAACTTAACAATGAAAATAATAATAATGCTCAATATTAAACATTATTATCTTATGATGTATAATATAAACATTAAAGTAATTATTTTGTACTATTTCTTTCTTTATTATAATCAAATCAGTATTCAAATAATGTTCTCCCACTAAGGGTTTCCACTTTTTATTTCCAATTCCTGATGAATAATCAGTGTAGATACACTTTGGAATAGAGTGAGTTTTGTTTTATACTCAAACAAACTACACATCTCGCAACATGATGAAACTATTTTCTAAGTACCTGAAGGTGGATGTTGTTCTTAATATGCTCTGGTAAAAACTTCAACATATGGGTGTAACACCTAAGAAGACCCACACTGGCTAGTCTATATAAATCATTGTCTATGCTGCCATAGGTGAATGGTTCAATTATGTAGATGACTAAGGCAGGAGGGTGTTGCTCATCTTCCCTTTCCAAAGGATCTTGCGAGTGGAGACCAGAGTTTCCTGATGCACTGCTGTAGCCATCCTGTTGACTATCTGTTGTTACATCAGCAAGATTTAGTTTATAAGCTACAAATTAATTTATTCACATTAACACTACTGCTCTTATAAGCCAACTTCACAGTTCCTAAGACTCTCTAAAGTTATTTCATAAAACCGCATGTTTTAGAGATAAGTCATAAGTATTTCAAGTAATCATGCACTTATCTTATATTTTTCATAAACCCACTTACATATTCTCAAAAAGAATCATGCTACCAATAATTAACCTCAATATCATATTTGCATAAAACAAGAAATAATTTTCTAGTATCAGCCATTCTAGCATTTAAACTCCTAATAAAATGTAAATAAAGAATAAAATAAAACTAATAAGTTATGGCATTTACTGTAAATAAAAAATAAAAAAGCGGGGATTTGTTTAATTTCTTGTTTGACTTTTTAATTTATATGTGTGTGTGAATCATACCATTTTCCTGGGGTTTAGGCGTGGAGGCTCGCTCCTTATCTTGACTTTCTGGTGTGCCAGGTGGTAATGGTGAAGCTCCAAGAACTGATGGTTTACAACTAGGTGAATAGTTATGAACTGGGTTGGCCAGCAGACTGCAATCCAGTGATTGGGCAGCTAAGAATGGAGCTAAAAAAGTTTAAAAAGAACAAAAAAAAACGATTTGAAATGCCAATTACAATACTGAGTAGACACAACTTTCTAGGTTCCTAGTTGTACAAAATAAGACGGTACCACCTAGTAAATGATTTAGTAATCTTAAAAACTGATCCAGACATTTTCACACTAGCTTCTTTGGACTTTCTGAAATACGACCTATTTTTATATTTATTCAAAAAGTTGCAAAATCAAAAGTAATATTTTTTAACATTCATAACTACAAATGAAAATAAACTTAATAATCACAAAATTTCGAATAATAATGTGATTAGTATTAGTTCTAAAACTTACCATATGGGAATATTCACTTTTTATCCCCCCAAAAAGTCATGATGAGTAAAATAAATGATTTATTATTTCCTGGAAAATGTTCAGTATTAAAATGCTTAGAACCAGTATGCATTTACATAAAATTCAAACTGATCTAAACATATTGGAGTGAAGTTAACTACCACAGTGATAACTTAAATACTTATGGCATGATTAGAAACGAAATTCTGATTTTCTGGTTGGTGATCATGGCATTTACTAGATATTACCTTGTAATATTCATAAGTTAGATATTTTTAATTTAGAATTGCATCCAATATTCCAACTTCAATTAGTTGTAAAAAAAAATACTTCAAACAGTAATTACTAGTGTGGTACTAACCCAGATGATGTCGACAAGCCTGAGCATATAACTTCAGTTTACTGGCGACTTGACTATCACCAATCATATTAAACCACTCATCAACAGGTTCGTCCGCTAATTTCTTGGCAGCTGACTTCCCCACTCGCATAATTCCATCCCGAAGAACTTTGGTGATGGGGCTGTGTCGACCCAGCTTACATAACTCGTATATGCTACTCAACTCCCGGAAAAAGTTCCTTACACGGCTTAAGATAAACTCATTGTCGGGGGCTACAACAATGTATGCCACATCTTTTGGTAAAGAGTAGGGTTCCAGAAGTAACTTGTCCTACATGTAAAATATTACATAAAACTGTGTTAACTTGATATATTCATAAAAAATATATACAAATTCCAACACACCAATATATAAATTTATTTAGAATTTTTGTGCTATTACGATTTTTTTTTTTGCATAGCCTTATATGAACTTTTTATTTTTATATCAGCACAACAAATCATAATAATTAGTGTAAACTCATGTCTTGTGGTTCATATTTTGTACGTTTCCACTTCTTTTACTCCCAAGATTATAGGTTACAACTTGTGAAATGGATACACTGTTACGTCAGTTACATGTTTAAAAGAGGATGAATCACACTGTGGGTCACAAAGAATTTTAATATCTGCAGAAGGTAAGTACTGTGTGATGAAATACACTCTGAAGCAAGAAAGGTGAAACATAAAATTTACTTTGTAACTTGTTAATTTGTTTTTTCAACTGGTCAGAATCAACATATTTTTTGATAAAACTTTGAGCAATATTTACTGAAAATGGCAAATAACATTTTTTAAATACTTAATAAGTTTTACAAAATCTTTTAGAAAATACCAATATTATAATGAGTAATTTACATTAAATTATGTATTTCAGGGAGGGGTGGCATATACATTAAAGAAGGGAGAAGACCTAGAGAACAAATGTCACAACTTTTATAACAGGAAAGGTTGATGATTTATTTAAATATTTCCTCATAAAATTAATAACTTAAACTTATATAACATTACAATTAGATATTTTAACTATGTTTTTGATGTCAAGTTTATTTGTATACATTGATAATAAAGTGGTTTATATTAAATTTTGAATATAACTCTGTAAAAGGTCATGACACTTTGTCCAACCTGTAGCAACAGGGTTAACAAGTTCATTTAAATTTCAGATGCTATTAAAAAATGCCAAACAGATATACACTGTAACAGTACAAAAAAAAACTACTTCAGGTGTTTCTTTTTATGGGGACTTGTGGATTAAGGTAGACAAATTACACGATCAGTTTGCTACATGCTGGTAAAGTTTAGTTAAAATGTGTTGTACATATCGAAATGAAGTGTAAA